TATGAACATTCATATGCATGTTCATGCAAGTCGAATTTAATGATGATAGTGGAAGGATTTCACCCAAAAACAACATGCATGTAGTTAGAAGGTGAAATCCAATGACCAAAACCTAAATCAAATCCATCAACTTGAGTTTCTACAAGTTTTAAAGATCCAAAACCATATGCATTCAACCTTTTCATTTAGAAACATCATTTTGAACAAAGTAAGTTCATTCAAGGTCTTCAAATCATAATGCATGTACAGAACATCAAGCTTAAAGGCTTGATGATCAAAGTACATCGTTAAGAATGCTTATAAATGATTTATTCACAAATAAATATATAAACCTCATTTTATGCTCACCTCCGATTTTTCCAAGATTTCAAGCGAAAAAATAAGATGATCTGGAAATTTTTAGAAAGTAACTCATTTTTTTTATTTATTGTAATTTTTGCAAAAAATAGGGCAATAATTCACATAAAATACTTTTGAATATTAATAAATTCTGGGAAATTTTTTTATGACCTATACATTAATCAAAGACATTTTACGAAGTTGCGTGCATTTTTATGGCTATTTTGTATTCATTTCGATTTTATGTTTGTTCAGAATAAATAAATAGTAAAATACAGTTATGAATATCAAAAAACCATATTTTATAACTGTCTCATCTTTTATACATCTTGAAGACTTGATGAAAAGAAAAATACAAATTTTTCCATGAATATTTCTAATTTTTACCCATTTATTGAAGGTTTAAGGGTTTAAACTAATATTAAATATCTACACTTGTCCAAAAATTATAGAACTTTCTTAGAATATCTTAAAATACATATTAATCATAAATAAAAAGTATAATGAATTTTACTTTGTAAATAAAAAATTTAATGAATTTTACTTATTGTTTAGTTATTTTTCATGAATTAATGCTTATTTGATGCTTATTTGTGAGAATAAATCAAGGAAAAATAGTTAAACTATCCTAAAAATCACAAAATTATCATAACATCTTATATTACATTTTAACAACAAATAAAAGTTTGGGAAATTTTATAAACTTTTTAATATTTATTTCCATTTTTGCTAGAATAAATATACAAGAGTCATAAAAACTGGCTAAATATTTAAAAACCAGTTTCAATATTTTTCTCAGTATAAATATATTAAATAATGGTTGTACAAAAAGTTTAAAGATTTAGTTCAACTGTTTACTATTTATTTCTAATTTTCTAAAATTAAACACCCATAAATCCCAAAATAGTTTTCAACAATTTAAAAATGACTTTTAATATTTTTCTCATACTATATACATTGTATAATAGTTGTACAAAAATATTGGTAATTTTCCAAAGTTGTTTAGTATTTTTCAAAGTTTTATGATTATTTCAAGGAATTAAACAGAGGAAAATAGTTAAACATATTTAAAGAACATGAAAAATTACAAGGAGGTTCTAAATTATAGTAAGAACCGAAATCTAAAGTATGGAAATTTTTAGAACTAAATTGATTTAGTTATTGAATATTTAATCATTGGAACACCTCCTAAAATGTTAAAATTTAACATTTTAATAATGAGAATTTCCACTTGAATTTGTTATATAACAAATTGATTCATAGAAATCTAAATTCATAGAAAAATGTTTATAACTTATCAATATCAAAACTTTGACACAATATTTTCATAATTCTATTGTAGTAGTAAGTATAGTAGTATTAGATTTCGGTTAGAGACTCATTAGTGTGTAACATCATTGTAGGAATCGGTAGTGGTACGAGTGGAGCATAGTTCAATGCACCATTTGCATTATCTCAATGCATTATGAGTATTCAAGCCTCCCCCTACTTTTTTTTAAATGTTTTGGGGTGGAAAAACATGGCGTTTACTCAATTATTTTCGTTGTACTTATTTTCAATTGTATCAAAAGTTATTTGTTATGTATGTGTATGCTATTGTTAATTCATGAGGCCTTATTGCGGTTAAATCCCTGGAATCAGTTCACACAACTCATTAACTCATTTGTGCACATGGTCATTACAGGTAACGCTATTAGGAGGTAAACAACTCCTCACTCACCCGTTTCATAGAGTGCATTTTACCATTTCTATATATGTGAGGGATACACGTAAATCTCAATAAGGCACCCCTCGGTCATTAGGCTTGAGTTGTGAACTCATGATTTGATCATGAACCTTGTATCTCGTTTTAGCATCAAACTTATTTCCCATGAGAATATAAACTTTGCATCTCATTTTGGCAACGCAACTTAATTCTCATGATGACAACGAACTTATTAACTCATCATATCAATGAACTTTTTTGTTATGAAAACTTGTTTACTCATTATAACAATGAACTTGCTTACTCATTTTAGCAACAAACTTTATTTTTCATGATAACAATGGACTTTGTTTCTCATGATAACATCGAACTTTATTTCCCATGAAAATATGAACTTTGCATCTCCTTTTGGAAACATACTTTATTTCTCATTATGACAACAAACTTATTTACTCATTTTAGCAATGCACTTTTGCTTGTGAAAACTTCTATCAGAACTTTTGATTATGATTCATGAAACCATATTTTTTTGTAAACCTGTGCACTCACCAACTATTTCTGTAGTTGACACTCATTCTACATGCTTTTCAGGAATCATCGAGTAAGTGGCACGTAGGAACACATCATTTGTAGGAGAATTTGCGTATGTTATTTTATTTTACATTGTAATTTAAAAATTATTCAAAAGATATTGTAAATTGTAACACTTTTTAATACTATGGTTGGTGTTGTCTTTATCTTTTTGTTGAATCTATATGCGCAAGAATCATTATGGAGTGATATTGCTAATAATATATGATCCTATAGGGTCACACCTTTTTCAAGTTGGTACATTTTGTATATTTATTATTAATATGATTATTAATAAATAATATCAATTCTTGTATTTAATTATGGAATTATTATTGTTTTGTGAAAATAATAATCATAAGAGAGTATAACTAGTTATTATTTCTTATGGTATGAATTAATAAGTCATGCACAAAATTTTGGACTAGTTGCATTCTTTTGTCTTTTACCTAATGATAATTTATATTTTATAAACTTAAAGTTTATAAAAATTAAACAATCCTCCTCTTTTCAAGAGGTATGACCAAAAATATTAAAATATGGGGGTTGTTTGTCAACATCCATGCATTTTATCTCAAGCTCCTTATGCTAGCCATTATTTTAGAGTATTTTAATGGTTATTCCTTACTTTGTATGGACTATATAAGAAATGCATGAGGCTTGCATTTTTTCTAAAAAGAAAAACACACTCTTCTTCTTCCTTTCTTCAGCTAAAAACCGCAACTAAGAAAGAGTTTCATCTCTTTGAAGTTTGGTGCTTTACTTTTGTGATTAAATCCTTCTTGAGTTGTATCCTCTAGTTCTTATTTGATTTAAGAACTTAAAGGCTTAATACACTCAAGAATAGAAGAAGTAACTAACATTCCAAGTGCCTTACTCTTGATGACGGACACATATAGAGGAATCATATTCTTTGATTTTCGCTATCTTCATCAACACCCTAAAACCAAGTGGGTTTAATGGCTTCAAAGGTTGTCATTCTAAAAACTTTTTGGTTGTTTTTATTTCATTCTAACCTCTATAAATGGAAACATGATGGTTTGGTTTTGTTATAAACTAAAAATAAACTAGTTATTTTTAAAGTCTTCTGTTGTTAGTTTTTATGAACAACAAACTTATATTTTGTATCAAACCCATCACTTTTGCTATGAAACCCTTTTTACTATTGCACCTCGTGTTTTACGCTTTAGCGGGGTGTGACATAAGATGGTACCAGAGATGAAGGTTATAGAGAATACTGGTTTTCCTTGGAGAACCCCAACTATAGCCAAAAAATTTCAAAACGACTTTCAAAAGTATTAAACATACTACTAGTATAACTAATTCGAGTACGCATTATTGGACTTTAATTAAGTATAACCTTGCCAACTATGCTTAATTAAGGAAAATTAATGTGAGACTAGAAACGAATATAGTAGAATTATGTTCAAAATGATTTTCAACTTAAGCTTTTGAAAAACTAAAATTTCGGTGTGCATATGGGCATTTCATATTATAGGCATTCATCTAGGTACACTTAGGAACTAAATTCACTTTTATCACAACGCCTTTATTTAGAAATATTATTATCCCTTATCAAGTGTTAGGCTAAACAGTTAGGTTATATCACTAACCACTTTAGGAACAATACACATAGTACTGAGAACTAGTACTCCTCGGTAGCTATTGACTCTAGAGGTAAGGTTATTAGCTAGATAAACACTAGTAATAATCTTAAGTCGAAACCAATACTAATTATACCTCAATACTTCTTCATCGTCTTCGTACTAGAGTTACAACTAGGAAAATCGTTCTGATACCGACACAGATGAAAATCGGAGCATTGGGTTGGAAGGTACATGATTCACTACAAGTAATCACTTAGAGACCATTGATGAACATCCTTGATATGACTCATGAGTAGACATGATAGTTTAACCCATTGTTACTGATTCGTGAGTGTAAGTCCCAAAACTATGGATCTTATACGATATCAATTAATCTATTTAGTGAATGTGGAGTGTAAACCAAATAGCAATTCAAGAACACACAAAAATATCAACTGCACATGATTATATTAATTAAATCACCTGGTACAATTTAGAAGTCTTTCACAACCAAATATCACAATGAATGAACGACTAGACTCTAAACGGCTAAAAAGCAATATATATATATATATATATATATATATATATATATATATATATACCAAGTACAAGACCTATCACGACCCAAGCTCACCTGACCGAAATCACCATAATTACTTTGGTTCCCAAAACCGAAAATCCAATAAACCTATTAACACAAATATATCTAAGCCTAAATACAGTAATAAATATAAGCCCAACGTAAACCATTTAAATATGACCCAAAAGTCTCCCCCTTGGTTTATTGTTGGCTGACTTCAAGGCTTCTCCACGATATGCATGTCAGAATCAGCCAATGCTCCTGCCCACAACTTCTTATCAATGATTGTTGCAATCATGCTGGTAAAATCCTTTGTAGTAGCTTCAAACATTTCATTCTCCACCATTAGTTGATGTTTAGACAAGGTATGAATATCATGCTCGCCATTTTCACTAAATCCCTAGGATCAACAAGTCGAATTTGATCCCTTTTCGTCTTTATTACCACAGTTGTTGTCGCCTCATCATATACCCAAAATAATAAATCATTCAAAGATCCATCAAGTATATGTTGAGTGATAGGGATATTTTCGCTTTATTCGTAGGCGGTCACATAACGTTCACCACATTCTTGTTGGTATGGGGATCTATGACATCATTGGCCTTTTTAATGAATGATGATGTTGTTGTCATGCCTTCAAAGTTCATCTTTGCTTTGTCTTCAAGGAATTTTTTAAACGCCCATGCATTGGGATCATTTGTTGAATTGTGGAATGGTGTGTGGACCAGCTCTGCAAGATCAACTTTCGTCCAAGACACAAACTCAATCTTCTTCTCACAATACTCAATGTTTCTGCTCTTTCGTATCACAACCCACATCTTCTTTTCCACTTCAAATCCCCACATGCGAATTCTAGAACAATCGTCGTATCTATCAACGAATTTTATTTTTCCAACTTCTTTAATAAACATCTGTGGGTGATAACCATGTGCATTCGGATCAAAAGATTTCATCAGAAGCATTTTATCTTTCTTAAACTTATCAACCCTTTTCTTATTTTCCTTTCTTTCTTCAGTAGTGATAGAGCCATAGGACAAAATTTGATCAATGTTAGCATTTGGGGCTGTGACTCTTTCAAAAGACTCCGGAACTTTACCACCATCAAAACTTGCAGTCTTGAACGCATTTCCAAATTTTCCAATCAATTTGTATTTAAGATCATAGTCAAGAGTTGTCAACCCACCAAGATTGGCCTGAAGGTATGAGATCTGCTTATTCTTTTGATAATTTTCTTTCTCAAGCTCTAAAACTCTCACTTCCAATCAACAAGTCCTTCTCAATAGACTCCTTCTTCAAAAGAGCGATCTATTGTTTGAGCTTAGAATTGGTTTGTTCAGAGTCTTCATCACCTCCATGCCCTGAGAAAATATATATTCCTTTTCCTTTTGATTGAGGAATAGAATCTTGAAAGGCAAGTAACTTGGCTAACTTGACAGATGCAGCATCGTGCTCTGTAGGTGGTGGGGCAGAAGATCTTCCCAAGGCAAAAGTTTCGTCATTAGCTAAGAAGTCGAAGTCATCGTTAAAAATTAGGCTTTGAACGTCTTGATGAACTTGGGCTGGTTCAACAATTGGACCTTAATCATCTTGATGAACCTAGGTTGGTTCAAGAATTGCGCTTTGATAAACTTGAATAACTTGGGCTGGTTCAAAATTTTGGCTTTGTACTTGTTAAAAAATAAGCACTCCCAGCCTTAAATCTCTACGTCTTAGTTTTCTTGGCAAGAGGGAGGCATTTGAATCATCTTTATCACTCCCAGATGGAGACTCAGTAGTAACAAGAACTGCTTGGGGAGGCTTCCTTGCAATTGACTGTAAATTTTCAATAACGGCTTCCATCTAATCGGGTGTTGGATTGTTTGGTTGCTTGAAAACATTGATTTCAGTCTATGTCTCAGCTGGAGTGATCAGAGTTTCATTGACTGGATCCTTAGATGTTACAAACAAACAAAAATTCACATAATCATCATCATCATCATCATCATCATTAACATCATTGTCATCATCATCATCATCATCCTAAACCTCAAACAAAAAACTAAGATATGACCTTGATGGTGCTACATATTCCTCTACCATCATAGCAATTGGAGTACAGGTAGCTTGAACACCTTCTATCTTAATTTTTTTTTCCAAATTTGACCAACTCCTTCAATCCTTTATAGGCGACTTTGGCTGCTTTTCTTGATTGCTTCATGAGCCCAAAGGTGCTGGGACTCAAGGATTTCATATCCAAAGTGTTAGATGACTTCTCAAGTTGGAGATATTTGTCATTTAGGGTCATTTGAAGGAACCTGGGATACATCAAAAACAGGTCCTTCTTCTTCCCTTGAAGGTTTTTTTTTTATTTCTTTAAAGACAACCCTTGAAAAGTTGTAATCCCAGTCCGTTGCTAGAGTGACAATGGCCGAGGTCGCAGTCTGACTAATTTCATCGGATCCTCCCTTCCTTCCAGAAATACAAATTACAAAGTAGTGTGCCAGAAGCCTCCAGAAAGGTGACAACAACTTCTTGAAAGTAGGAGGATAGGTTCCTTCATAACACATCTTCTCAAGGAATCCCTTCACTTGATCGGCAGAGTACTCAACTGGAAATATAGGAGCATCACCAAACTCAAGCACTTCTTGGATAACTTGCTCGGAAATAATTACCGGAGTTCCCTTCACCAGTGATTCAACAGCACCAGCTCCATCTGCTCCCTGCTTGCTGATTGAAGAATTTTTCCAAAACTTAGTAATTATGCCCTTGTAGATGACTGGATTAGAGCGCAAAGTGTGGGAAATACTGCAATTGTTCAAACTCGCGATCATGGATTTGAATTCCTTGTGTGCGGCAGGTAGATCCAAGAGATATCCTGCGATATTGTGAGATTCCACAAATTTCAACTGATCCACCATTTAGAAAACCCACAAGCACATCGAAATGTGCTTTAATGAAAGGTTTGTTGAACAAATCCGCCACATTGTTATCAGTGTAAATTTGTTCCAAACAAATGAGTTTACACTCATAACAGTCTTGAATAAAATGAACTTTAATGTTGATATGCTTTGTTTTTGAATGTTGAATGGGATTCTTGTTAATTTGAATGGCTGCATCATTATCACAAAAAATGGAGGTGTTAAGAAAATTCAAACCATAATCCAGCAATTGGTGTTGAATCCAGATAACCTGAGAGCAGCAGACTGAGGCGGCAACTTATTCAGCCTCAACCATTAAGGTCGACAGCATTTGCTATTTCTTGCATTTCCATGACACCAATCGGTCCCCTAAGAACTGACATCTACCTGATGTAGATTTCCTGTCAAGATCACAATCTCCATAGTTGATGTCAGCAAAAGCATATAAATCAAAATCAGGATTTTCAGGATACCAAAGACCCAATTTAGGGATACCTTTAAGGTACCTATAAATCCTTTTAATAACAATTAAATGGGAAAGTTTAGGATTAGCCTGATAACAAGCGCACGATGTCAGGTCTGCTGGCAGTCAGATACATCATAGATCCGATCATTGAGCGATATTCAGTATGATCTACGGATTCTCCATCTGGATTTGGAGTCAACAGTGGTCTGTAACGCCCTAATCCTCAGGTATTAATATTATTGCTTTAAACATTCAAGTTTTAAGGTCTATTCGACGAGTTGGATACCCTGACTCATCATGTAGCAGCGGGTTTGAGCCACGTGTTAAGTGACCGACTCGCCGAGCCGGAAGAGTGACTCGACGAGTAGGAGTTGGCAGATGAAGCCCTAATTTTCGGGGTTTTCCACCCTATTTAAGGGATCATTAGTGCCTCCTCAGTCCCCTACATCCCCTAGAGAGTCCATAAAACCCTATTTTGTGTGTGAGCTTCATTTGAGTGTGTTTGAGCTTTGAAAGGTGGAACTTGTGAAGGAAGCTTGAAGGTCAAGTAGCTAGCAGCAAGGAACTCGTGTGGATCTACAAATATGTCTCAGTTAGCTTCATTTTGAGGTATCAATTCGTAATCTTGGCCTTATTTCCTTCTAGGTCTCATATGGGTGAAGTTTAGGGCTTTTTGACTTGATTATGGAGTTATTATGGTGTATGAGCTAGATATGAAGTTGCAACTTCAGATGTGAACCATCCTTGGGTTCTAAGTTCATAAAGTTCTGAGCCTTGCAATGTATGAACCCTTCCTTAGGAGTTAAACCCCATTTCAAGCTTAGATATTTGCTTTTGAGTCTATAAAGCCATGCAAGTACGTAAAGGTGGGAGCTTTACATTGATAGCACACCCCAGGAACTCATATTTATTTTTTTGGAATGATGGGTTAGCTCAAAATCGTCTAATTATGGGTATAGGTTGCATGGACTCGGCGAGTCGGATAATCCAACTTGGCGAGTTAATGTAGGGTTTACGGTCATGGGTTACGTTTGGACTCGGCGAGTCTAGGAGATGACTCGGCGAGCCTTTTGGGGTTTTTCCCAGTTGGCTAGACACACTGGACTCGACGAGTTAGAAGCTACACTCGACGATTTGGGTCAACATGAATGGTTGACCGTTAACTTTGACCAAAGTAAGGACCAGTACCTTTAGAGGGCATTTTGGGTAAATTGGGATTTATGATGGAAATTATTGGTGGAATAGGTGTTGGTGTTCGAGAGCGTGGTTTGGAGGAGTTCGTTACTGTATCTTCAATCTACTTTCAAGGTGAGTTGTCCTCACTATATCGATAGGGTCTAAGGCACCAATGCCGAACCATATCGGATTTGCATCCGGGTTTATTGTATGATATGTTGTTGTTTACATCCTGGTAGTTAGGATGGTTCCTATGCTAGTGATTGGTTAGATCGGTATCCTAGGTATAGGATGGTTGCCATGATTAGTGATCTGTTAGATCTGTATGCTTAATTGTTTATATGAATATGCACATGTTTATTGGTTTAAGGGAAAGGGTTGAGGCAGGTCCTATTGTGTGCAGTAGGCCAAGACACCCTGGGTGGACCGGGTAGACTACAGGCCTAGACCGGGCAAAAATCTAGTCAGGCCGAAGGGCCAGTGAGCGGTCTGGATAGGCTAAAGGCCCCAAAGAGGGTGGTCCAAACGTGCTGATGGCTCGGAGAGTGGTCCAGATAGACTAAGGACCGGGATTCGGTCCAGTCAGACTATTGGCTCATTATGCATGGTGTATTTGTATTTGATATGGTTATATTTGAATGGTGTTGGTATTTTTGGGGAAATTCACTAAGCTTTTGGGCTTACAGTTTCAATTTATTGTTTTAGGTACTTCCGGTGATCGTGGGAAGGCGAAGGCATTATCTTACTGCTCCTCCTGTTGTTATGATTTTATGATTTGATGCTGGGATACTCTGATAATTATTATTTTGAAAACAAAATTTGTAATGTTAAATGATTTTAAATGGTTGGAAAAGTTTAAATTTGGCATGAATTTTATGGGTGTTACAAGTTGGTATTAAAGCCTTGGTTTGAGTGAATTGAAGGAACATTCATGTGAATCCAGTCTCAAATAAAAGAAAAGATTTTCAAAATAAACTCTAAATGGTTTTCAAAATAAGTAAAGGAGGATGCAGTGTGTACGATCAACCGGAGCCAATAAGTAGACCCCAAAATACCATACAATTATGTGATTATGCGATATGTAAGAACAGCATGCTAGTACTAGGCTAGAGATCTTCATGAATTGTCTTATAGAATTGCCTGATTACATGATGCCAGCTAGCCTAGGGTTTCCTTTCATGAGATTAACATCATTACTGTAGTTGCTTAGTGTATGCATCACGGTTATACATAATTAAGATCTTATAGCCTGAGAATGTTTGATTTAGCCTATGTTTTGTTCTTGTTTGATTGGGAGCTTAAGGTAGGATTGGATATTCGAAAGTATATGGGGTCCAGCGTTATGTATGGCTAGCATACACTAGTACTGCAGTGTCAGTGGAAGTTTCATGGATGTATGAGTTGTTGGGATGAGTCTGCCGACTGTGAGATCTTTAGCCTTCCTCTAGGAGTGAGGATTAAGCACATGACATGCTTACGTATAGTATTAGCGCGTTGTGATGATACTTGAGAAAAATATGGGTAGGTGTTGAAGGTAGTATGGGCCCGTACTACTGAAAGCATACGACCCGTACGCGTAGCAAGGAAGTCACAACCCCTGGGGTTTTAGCTAGGGAATTAATTCCCAGATTGTTAAAAGGAATATCTAATATCTGTTTGGTTTGATTGCAGCATGGTGGTTACACAACGATTCGTGACTAGATCCGGGTCAGGATCAGGAGAGGGCAGACAGGAGGCGCTGTCAGGGCCCGAGACTATCAGCCAGATGAGGCCAAATGTGATGGAAGACAGGATTCGAGAGATCCTACAGGACGAGGTGGATTCTATGTTCCGGGCTCAAATGCTGGAGATGTTTGGGTCTATTAAGACCGCTATGGTGGAGTACTTTGATGAGCGATATGCAACCCTCACTGAGGCGGCTGCCGCAGCAGCCACCGCAGCTGTATTACCAGCAGGGTTGGATGCTAGACGGGTTTTTTAGTACAGGGACTTCGATAACACGAAGCCCCCTACTTTTGATGGGATTCAAGATCCCATCAAGGCTATGAGGTGGTTATATGATGTGGAGGGGTGTTTCTTCACGTGTTCATATCCTACTGACCAGAAGGTCAGATGTGCCCTGAACTTGTTGCGAACTGGGGCAAAGAACTAGTGGAGGTTGGTGATAGGGTCGTATATGGATGACCAGAGAGCTGGTGTGACTTGAGAGCAGTTCAAAGATATGTTCCGCGCTCGCTACATTCCCCGTGTCGAGCGCGAGTGGTTGGCACAGGAGTTCTTGGATCTGAGACAGGATGGTGAGTCGGTGATGGAGATCACTCGTATGTTCATAGAGAGGGTGATGTTTTTCCTGGATTTTGCCTCTGAGCAGGTTCAGATGGCGTGATATCTGAGCATGCTCAAGATTGACATTCTTCAGTTTGTTGCTACCCAGTGGTGTGATACCCTGCTAGAGCTACATGAGGCCGCAAGGCGGCGAGAGTTGGAGATTGAGCAACAGTTGAGGGAGCAACGATGGGCCCTGACGCAGTCTCAGTCGGCACCGAAGTGGACTAAGACCGCTAATTCTAGGGTCGTGGGACAGCAGGGTCGTACTTGTGGCAAGTGCCGGAATGGTCATTCAGGGGTTTGTAGGTCAGGTAGTGGATGCCGCAAATACGGCCCTGGTTCAGGATATGAGGATCTACTACCATGCAAATGGTGCCTTGAACTATGCTCCACTCATACCACCACCAATTCCTACAATGATGTTACACACTAATGAGTCTCTAATCGAAATCTAATAATAGTATACTTACTACTACAATAAAATTATGCCAATATTGTGTCAAAGTTTTGATATTGATAGGTTACAAACATTTTTCTGTGAAATTTAGATTTCTATGAATCAAGTTTTTATATAACAATTTCAAGTGGAAATTCCCATTATTGAAATGTTGAAATGTAATATTTTAAGAAGTGATCCAATGATTAAATATTCAATAACTAAATCAATTTAGTTCTAAAAGATTTCCTTAATTACCCTTTCATACTCATGACCCCTTAAGTGTCAACTTTGGTCAAAGTCAAAGTCAACATTCTAGTCAAAGACAATATTCTGAGTTGACTCAACTCGCTGAGTTCCATAAATCATAAAACCCTGAAATCGCGATCCAACTCGTCGAGTTCTTTCCTATCAACAGAATTGGGACTTCTCAAATGAACCCGTCGATTCCACCCTTGAACTCGTCAAGTTCTTCCTTTTAACAGAATCGGGACACTTCGACCCAATTCGTCGAGTTCCTCTATGAACGCGTTGAGTTCTTCAGTATGTTAAGCCTTCTTAATGTATTAAGCCATCATTCTTCGAATCTAAGTC